GGCGTGACTGGCAGGCGCTTGCCCGGCGCAGCTCCATCTGCGGCTACTGTCTGTTCCTGGGCTTTTGCCTCAAAGGCTTGAATTTCTGCAAGTGACCAAGCAGCAACGAGTGATTTCCGTATTGCTGCAGGCCCTGCAGGCTCGGGCGTCGAGCTGCGGGCTGTCTTTTGCTCTCGCTTGGGCTTTTCGCCTTTAGCGGGCGGGCTGGCAGACTCGCTAGAGCTGCTCCTGCTTCGCTTGGAAGCCTTGGCAGACTTTTGCGCGGCCTTCTTCTCCGCGCTGCTCTTGTCGTTGCTAGAGTCAGTAGTCTCTGGCTTTCGCGCCTTCTTGCCCTTGGCACGTTTCTTATTCTTATCCTTCGTGGAGGTGCTCTTCTTCTTGCCGGCGCTCTTCCGAGAAGTCTTTCTGGATGCCTTGGCTTTCTGCTTCGTGCTGCTGCCTGAGCGAACCTTGTCGGTGTCTGTACTGAGTTCCGCGGATGATTGGCTGTCAGCAGCATCCAGCGCGCCGAATTCATGCAGCCGTCGCGTGTTCTTTCTTTCATCTGTTTGAATCCCATGGGCTATCGCTCTCAGCAGCTTATTCTCGTCGGAGACATCCTTCAGCCAGCTTTGCAGGTGTTTCGATTGTTTGGTCTTTTCTGGGACGCGTTCGCCCCACCATGCCAAGTCCTCCGCGGCAGCTCCAAGCTCCATTAAAGCCATGAGACCCAAATACAAGGCAGCAGCGGCCTCTGCGGCTTCCGCAAGCAGGGGCTGTTCATGCCTGACTGTGCGCCGCACATGCTTTAGCAGTGTTTGACCCATCTGCATGGATTCATCACGGCCTCGCTCCACGTCACGGGAGAGGTTGAAGTAGCGGATAGCCTCCCCCAGAGGTTCTTTCTGCAAGATTGCTGCGACAGCCGGCAGCTTTTCTTGCAAGATCGGAGCAAAGAGACCTGCGCCATCAATGGAGGCTGCGGCCAAGTTCAGGCCCATGACAGGTCGACGCAGAAGCTCGCAGCAATCCCCGTCCAGCATGCGACGTAGTGAGTCCGAAGTGAAGGCGCTAGCTGCTGGACCATTTGAAAACATAGGCCGCCCTTTGGAGTCAGGATAAGAGCGCAGCCGCCATTTTGCAAGAAATTTAGGTAAGTCCACTTGAGATACCCAGGGCGTAGAGGCCGTGGCGTCAGCCTTTCCCTTGCCGCGGCCACCACAAGCACGAGGAGCTCCCATGACTGCGAATTGCTATTCGACTATGTCTCTGCAAGAAGCTGATAGACTGAGAGCCAAAACCACGTTAGAACATGTGTATAATTATAAGCTGAACAACTGAACATGTATGCGCTCACTGATGCATTCGATGCAAACAGGGACTGATGCAGCCGGTGCAAAAAAAGCTGGGACAAAGACGGACGAGCAAAACGACGTGTAACCTTGAGAGCGACACACCTGCAATGTCTTGGGCGGGAACTGGACAGCGGATACGGACAGCGGCCGAGACTACGGACGCGTGCGAGAACAGGGGCAGGGACAGGGACGGAAACGCGATGCGTGGGCTATACGTACTATAAAAGCTTCATGGAGGAGGCCGACGACCAAGATTATAAAAGCCTCAAAGACCTGCAGCTGGCGACCCTGCGGGGCGGCTTCCCTGCAGGGCCCGCAGAGGGACCTGTCCGGGAGGAAAAACATGTGGTTGATCGATGGGAAACTCTCGCGAGGCTCCGTGGGGAGCTGGGCGGAGCTGTGGGCGTGCGTCTGGCTGCCTTGGAGCTCTGACTGGCTCTTCATAGAGAAGGACGACGAAACGTACCGGGAGAGCCGCGTAATGGGGGCGCTGGACAAGCACGGCGCACGACCCTGGCGGGGTCGCCCGGGCTGGCGGCGCTACAAAGACCGGGCTGGCGATGCTTGTTAATAACGGTGGACAACTTATGGCCACATTGGCGGGCCTGGCGGCGAAGCTGGCGGGCGACCCTGGACGGCGGGGACTGGCAGGTTGTATCTGGCAGAAGCACGGGGCAGGTCTCATTGGTCCTTCATAAAGAAGGACGACGAAAGGTACCAGGTCTGGTGCTGTTTTGGGGAGCTCTGACAAAACGTACTTGAATTGGCCGTGCTGCTGGGTCACCTGCACCCCGCAACGCGCCAATACCTTCGCCACTCCAGGCCACTGCCCCGCCAGGGTCGTCCCGGCCAAAGTCCTTATACGGGCCAGCCCCGCCAGGGTCGTCTGCTCTTCGAGGCTCATGGGGCAGTGCGGCTTACTACTGTTTAGGGTTTAGGGTTATGAGCCAAGGTTGTGGAGTGATAAAGGTTTTCCAGGGATATAGCATGCAGGTGGTGAGTCTCTTTCAGGCTACTTCTCGCTGGCTACTGGTCTTGGGATTATTCATTGTTTCCTGAACTCAATAATACCCGGCGGGGACTGGTACTGCCCTTACATAAACAAACATCGACACGCAAAGTGTATGGTGCCTCCACAAGGTCTGGCCGGCGAAGCTGGCGGGCGACCCTCGCAGGGTGCAGGCGACCCAGCACGGCTGGCAGAAGCACGGCGCACAACCCTGGCAGGGCAGTGGCTTGGGGTGGCGCTGGCCATCCTCACCACAGGCAGGGCTGTCGCAGCGGCGGACCACCTTAGAGGGCGACCCTCTCTGCCCTGCCAGGTGGCCATGCGGCAGTGCCTGGCAGGCCCTAAAAAAGCACGACGGACGACCCTGGCGAGGTCGGGACGCCCGTCTAAGAGACGCAAGTGGACTTTGGCAGGAACAAACGCGGCGGAGACCCTGGCGAGGCAGTGCGCTTGCTAGCAGTGATTTGTTGGCTAGAAGCACGACGGACGACCTTCGCCACTGAAAGTCCACCCATGCCTCTCTCATACGGGCAGCCCCGCCAGGGTCGTCCGCTAGGCTCCGCTAGAGGTCAACCCCACACTTTTCGTTGTGAAGAACCAATGAGAACTGCCTCGTGCTTCTGCCAACGTCCACCCTGCCAGTCCCCGCCAGGTCGCCTGCCAGGGTGCCAGGCCCGCCAGCCTGCAACAAACGACCCTGGCGGGCCAAAGGCCTGGCCGGCGAAGCTGGCGGGCGACCCTCGCAGGGTGCAGGTGGCGCACGGCTGGCAGAAGCACGGCGCATGGCCAAAGAAGCACGACGGACGACCCTGGCGGGGCTGGCCTCTGGCGGGGCACTGGCAGAAGCACGGCGCACAACCTGGCGGGAGGACATGATCGGAAGTTGCAGGGCTGGCGGATTGATTTGCGGAGGCAAAGCGCGGACAATTTCTGGCCACCCTGGCGAAGGCCTGGCCATCCACACCACAGGAGCCTGGCAGACAGCGATCCGAAGTTGCAGAGCCTGGCGGACGACCCTGGCAGGGCCACGCCGCGGGCAGTGCAGTGGAGGCGGGTCTGGCACGACGGACGACCCTGGCGGGGGAGTGGCCTGGCAGGGCTTGGCATCCGGGTCCAGCCAATGACCCTGGCAAAAGACTGCCGCGGACGCCGGGAGCTGGCTGGCAGATGACCCTGGCGGGCAGATGCCGAACAAAAGCCGGCGCAAGAGGTTGGCAGGCGACCCTGGCGGGGCCGCCAGCGGCCGGCACTCCCCCGCCAGGGTCGTGCGCCGGGAGATAAGGGTACCCAATTTTACTATTATTGCTCCATCGAGAGAGATAGAA